TAATGGTGAAGCTGTTTTTTAAGCTATGATATTGTTTCATAATGTTTTGGTCTGTGGTTCACACTAATTTGGAACAAATCCAATTATTTTGGGTTAGGATGAATTTGCATTTTTGTTTTTTATGAAGTATGTTTTTTTTTTCTTCAAAACGTCAACCAACTTTCTTTAAAGAAAGAAAATAAAGAAAGTTGTCAAGAGATGAACATATATTTGTAGAAAAGCATAGTAGATGTGATTTTCTGAAGCTACCAGATTGTTAAACATTTTTTATTACTATAATTTTCAGACATTCATTGTATTACTCTTTACAGAAAATAATCTAGACTGCTATAAGTAAAAAATAAAAAACGCATCCAAAAGATGCTTTTGGTGTTTGAACTTTATATTTGTGAAGAATTGTATGTTCAGAGATTAACCAAATAATTTTAATTTCTTCATCTTCCTAAAGTTGCTACTTCTCAAAATAATTTATTTTCTAGAAATGTCAAACCTGGTTTCTCTAATCCATGTCCTGCTTGTGAAAGAAATGGTTGAAGTGGCCAGACTCAGAGTCCATCAACAAATTCATTGATCTGGGCCAGGCACAAACCCACAGCAGTGATTGAAATTCCTTTTGGGTGGGAAAAACTGGGTTCATTCAAACAACCATCCTCCTTCCAAAGTTTCATCATGGCTCTGGCACTCAAGAGAGTTTGCTCTGAAATGTGCTCCTCGATATCACCCTGACTTGGAGATGTGAAAGAAAAGATTGATGGGTTTTCCAGCAGACAGAAAGAATAGAACATGTCAGAGCTGGTAGGCAATTTAAAGAATGATTATTTCTTTCCCCTTTCCAAAGATAAGCAAGATATAAAGACAGATTCAAAGGGCATGGTGGAAAAATCTTGACAGCAGCAACTGACTGGTTTCTTGTCTTGTAAGAAACTTGATACAAAAAAATGTCTGGCCATTAAAGTTTCTCTTTTTTTATTGCAGCATTTTGTCTGAATGATTGGTATCGACTTGAACTCTTATTTCATTCGGCTTTTCCTGTTTATTTCTTCACTTCATGCTTTTTTTTCTTGAAAAAGTATTGTCTCATTTATAGATTAAATATTTTGTTACTGGCTCCTTGCACAGGAGTTCACTTGCTGCTTCTCACAGGAGACATTTTGAATGTTAAATTAATAACTGTTGTGAGTTTCCTTTCTGAAAATTTGAAATCATCTTCCAGATCTTGACTTGCTTTGAATCATATCTTTATAATAACCTTTTAATATCAGACCTATCCTCACTTTAACCTGGAAACCACTAGTTGGAATATAGTCCTTCACATCAACCTTTTTGGGGTTTGGTTGACAGGTCCCAGAATAATTTTATTTATTTTTTTCAAAAACTTTGGGGGGAGATGGGAAAGAAGTATCAAGAGAGACTGAATAATGTCAAGTAATCTGGTGTTTTCTGAAATTACAAAAAAAGTGATTATGAAATTATTTAGCAAAGGATCGAGAGCAAATACTAAACTCAAAAATGGATGTGGTGAAAATCTGATCACAAAGAAACTATTTAACTGGTCATAGATTACAATTAAGAAAGTTCTGTGAAGCTTTAAACTCATAATTCTGAGGTTCTGTCTTCTTTTTGAAGTTCAAGTGCATGTGAACAAATGTCTTATATTCTCCTTAAAAGTTTAACTTGACTTTCCTTTAAAACAGTAGTTCCTAAAGTTTGACACCACTGGGGTTGCTAAAAACAAATCTGGAGTCCTGAGGTCATCTTTATAATTATAAGTAAATAACAGAATGATAGGGGGGAACAATCTATTTACACAGACGATGTTAGAAGTTGTTCAAAATGTAAAAACTGTGTCATGGCCTTTTCTGTTTTTTGTTTTTTTTTTGTTTTGTTTTTCTAATGCAGTGAGCATAAACATAAATGGTTAAAAGCCTTAAAATATATCTTTCAGTGAAAGATATTTTTTTTCACTACAAACAACTGTAAACATACATCAATGGTTTAAATTGTATTACAGCTGATAGAAACTTAGTTGTTGAGTTTAAACTGATTTGACTATATTACAAAGCAGAAAAATTAACCAATTCAAAATTATTTGCCTCTCTCTCCACAAAATTATTACGTTCCTTGTAAATGTAAAAAGTACTGCCTCCCTATAGCTGGGCCTTTTTCTGGGTCTTGTTTTGTCCCTTTTTTTTCTTTTTTTAATCTTTGTAAATCTATTGGGAACAGTAGTGATGGCCTCAAAAAACTATCATGGTTTCTGCAAAAACCGTTTATGTAAACAATTATTTATTTTAACCATATTCTGTAAAAGTGAAAAGAGGCTCTCTTATTTCATCTGCATGTACGTCAGACTTAAAATACAAGATTTCCTATTTGGGTAGCAGTTGCATAGCAAAACTAACAATAGCCATTGAGCTTCAAATTTAAATTGACGTCAAGACAATTGGAAAATATCCCATCAGTATATTTATGTTATTAAAAGTACCCAGTCTAAAAAAATAAGAAAATTATCCTGGTTTAGCAGTTCATGTTTATTGTAGTCATCCTTTAAGGAAAGTGACTAAAGTGTTTTCTTAGGCATTTGATTTCAGTGCAAATCCTCTAGTATGGAAAAATATAAACATAGATCCAGAAATGTTTAACTTAAGCACACACTGACTGCAAACATTCACTTCTTGTAAAAAGGCTGCCAAGCTGAACTTTGGATTCTTTCATTTTTCTCCCCTTTTATCTTATGACAAATGTCTCCGAGCTCAGAGCAATCACTTATCACACTTGATGCTGTAGATACTTTGACCTCTGTTACTTAGAAACCCAAAACAGAATTCACATTTTATTGTTTTCCACAGTTGACAATCTCCTTTATGTAAAGGAAGTTTACACTAGTTTAAAAATATACACATATATATATGTACACTCATAATTTTAACTTTACAACACAGACATTCAAGAGAAATTGTGACATTTTGTACAGCGATAGATATACATTTTCATTGTTTTGTACATAGTTACTCATATCACTCTGAACACACCTCACATTATTACTTTACAGCTGTACATAAAAGATTGCACTTAAGCTTTAAAAACCAAGCTCTTATCAGTGTGGCTTATACTGCGCCACGACACCACCTCCCAATATTACTTTATTGTGGCACAGGTTATTTTTTCCTTCACTAAAAGAACAGCAAACAATCTGTACAAATTTAAAACAAGTTTGAAAAACATTTTCTTATTTCAAGACACAAAGTAAGGCATGAGTTTCTATGCATCATAGATAATACTGAAATACGATGGGAGGAAAATGTTCTAGTTTGTAGTTTCATCTTCCATCTATTTCAAAAGACTGAAAACACTTATTTTCCTATGTCTCTGACAAATGTTACATTGTGGCTAGGTAAACAATGGCACAGCAAGGTTTGTTTTCAGAAAACTTTCAGACTGATGGTCGCATTGTGGTAAAATAACGGTCAGTGACATGTATTTGAAAACTATATTGCATAAATAACTTGAACGGTATATAGTAAACATGCCCTAGGAAATTAGTGAAAATTTTGTCCAACTCAATCTGTAACGAAACATAGATAATTAAAAATCAATGCCTTTATTTTGAGTAGTTCATTGTAAGGAGGATGAATACTTGCAATACATGTGTAGGGAGACTGTTTAATGTTTGTAATGTTAACTGAGGTAAAGACAGCTTAAAATTTGCCTTCCAATATAAATCTCCTGGATTCTCATCTCCCTTCAGTGGTCTGTCTGGGATTTCTCCAACTGAGCTCAATTTCTCAGGATGCATTTCATCCTAGCCAATCCACAAACAAAAGTAGTTTTGAACAATAATATTGAATTTCTGGGTTGTTTTAGAGTTGTAGTCTGCCTATGGTTGGAGTCTTGCAGTGGCAGCAGAGGAAGTCCATGTTGACCACACTTCTAAATATTGAGCAGTTAAAGTCGGAAAAAGAAACTCTGTAGGATACTTAGCGCTTTTCTCTTTGCAGAGGGAGATGGTTGCTTACAGTGTGTAGAATTTCTGGTAAGCTTCATATCATAGCTTTCTTCATGATTGAGCTGGCACATTAAATACATCATGGTCAAATGTTATCGTCTGGGTAAAATGAGATTTAATCGTTTAAAACTTCAGCAGAACACACGCCTCCAACAAGAAGTCGTCTTTCAATATCTGAGGGTCCCGACCATCTGTATGAAGCAAAGTAAAGAGCAAGGGGCTGGTTTTTACCAGGCTAGCTAAAAATGCTACCTCATTAGTTATGTCTTCTCGGTTTCAAAATAGTGAAATTGTGTTTACCGTCAGACTTATGCAACACTGACTGCTTTCTCATACACACACGATGACATCTCCTCTCCTCGTTGTATAAATAATAATCCATGAGGACATACGTGGTTAGAATAAATGAATTATTCATCTAGTTACAAATTTCTTGTGAAACAGTGCACAACTATATTTTGAGTTGTGTAAAAACATTAGTCAGTGAGATGAGTAAATGACATCTCATTTACTTGGAGAACTTTACTGCATTTGTAGATATGTGACACAAATTGAGAAGTCTGTTACCTTTCAATTAATAAAAATTCATAAGAAATATTTTGACTCTTGGGTGTTGGGTTAACCATAGTTTTAAGAGAAATCAGAATTTGCTAAAAGGGAAATAGGACAAACCTTAAAGAAGTCTGAGTTGGGAAATTAGTTACAATGTACCAGATCTACAAATCTCTATGTAGTTGTGGCAATGGCACACAAATGCATTCATTGTACATGCATATGTTTTGGCATTATTTGCTTGAGTAATTTGTGGCATATAAGTTATAAATAGTAATATATAAAATATCGAGAAACACTACAAACCATCCTTTGTCACATGAAGGAGTGAAAATTTACATACAGAACTGCTTTTACATAACCATCAGCACTTTCATGCAAATCTGCTTGTTTTCTCAAAGTTCTACATTTTCCTTCTAGTTCCCATTTTTTCTGGTCAACTTCTTCTTCCACCAGCGAGGGGAGAAAAACAGTCTTTGCCCAATATTGCTGGGGAGGTGGATTTATAGAGTAAAAAACTGGACAAATGTTCTTATGGTGTAGGAAAGTTTTTCATTTCCTTTTCACACCTGACCTTCATGTCTCCTAATGTCCTCTTTGTGTTTTTTCTTGTCTAATGAAGGTTCAAGTGTCTGTGAATGTCGATGGGTCCATGTGGCCTTTCAGGCATCCAGTTTTGTTTGTACCCTGATTGAAATATGGCATCACCGGGAAACGTGGTCTGACATTCTTGCTGAAAATCAGGAACCGTTGTTTCGGAGGAGTAACTGGTGTTGCAGTATAAGCTGGTTGGTGTGTTAACCATGCTATCATAACAGCCAGAATCTCTCCCATCTAAACTGTCTACTCTTTCAAAAGAGTTAAACGGTCCATCCTGGCAGGTTACGTCTGATAAGAGAAGCTTCCTGTCTGTGTTACCTAGTTGAAATGCGAGTTGTAGTTGTCCATCGTTGCCTCTTACAGTTTGTAGCACCAGTGGCTGCTGCTCGGGATCACTCCAACTTGGTTTAATGTTGGGTAGTTGTTTTGCAGCATATGAGGGTAATGGTTGAACAATTCCTACTTCCATCTGGGGTTCTTCTTCGCTGCTTTCTGCTTTCACAGAAAACAGCGAATCCTGGGGCTGGACTCCAACCGCAGCATAGCTTCCAGAAGACTGTGCACTTGTGACAGGGTTTTGCGGGCTATACGGAGAGTTCTCAGCACTTATAGATGTATTGTCTTTGTTGTGTACTATTTGGTTTGTGTCCTTCCTAGAAACGTTAGAAAGCCTGCAATTCTTATCTGGATTTTCCATAACTTTACGTTCGCTGGGGGATATTACCTGTTTTGAAGACAGTGAGAAGAGCTCTGTTAATTTCTAGAAATATTTATACAATGAGCAATGCTAACATGTTTGATACTGACAATAGAAAGCACCTTAGCAAATCAGTTTTTCTTTTACATCACTAAAATAAAACTGGTATGTGAATGTCTCAAGTAATGGAATTCTGTGGCTTGATATTCCTGTAAGGCAAGATTTCCTTGTTGCTTCAAGGAAAGGACTATGACGACAGAACGGACTTACCAGTGCCTTTATCATGACTGAGTCTCCACCCTTCACATAGTTGCACACACACACAGCTGATATTATGACTATGCTTGCCAGAACAGCAGCACCCAGGATAGGCCACAGAAAAGGTACATGAGGATCATCTAAAGGAGGAGAAAGTATGTGTTACTGTCATGTCATGGGGAAATCCAGATGTAGCTCTAAACTAAGACACTCTGAGGTACTTCAAAGCTTGCAGAGGAAAAAATTCCATTATGACTTGTATGCTTAGGCATCTTTAGAGGGAAATGTATCCCTGTACAACTGCTAAATCCACTAAATGCACTAAAATGTTCTGAAAGCTGTATTTGCTTCTGAAAATTGTTTTGTTGTGAGGATCTTGCATAATGTGTTCAGAGAAACTTACAGAGGACTCCCTTCTGAATAAGCTTGGATTGACTGTATACATTTTGAAAATATTAGGATAAAAGGAGAAGTCATCTTTGAAAATGTGAAAAAATATATTTTTTCAGTTTAACTCTAATGATGTAGAAAGTTAGTTTCCCAATAATTTTTATAGAACAAACCATTATTATTGATTAAATGGTCAACAATAGTAAGGCCACATCTCAATCTGAAACTGCAGTGTAACAAGCTTTAATTGGTTAGACTTTTCTGTGCTGTAATGGTGTTCATAGTGCAGACTGTTTTGCAAAGGATGGTTTTACAACAATTTATAGCAATCTATTACTAAACACTGCATTATTTCCAAGTGGCTGCAATCACTTAAGAAGATTTGGTCAAACTGATTAAAGCAGCATTTGGGAAAAATGCACCATCTTCAAGTGTCTCAATTGGTGCATCATCTCTCCAGCAGCTGTGACTCCAGAGCTGTTAAGAGTGACACTGTTGCTTTCAGTTGTATCACATTTTTATAAATGTTCTAATGGTTCCTGCTACGTCCAATCAAATTCTTAAAACGCATATAAAGTATTTAAAGCAAAATCTAATTTACTTGAATTATTAAAAATATATAAATCATGATTGTTAAAATCAATCAACTCCAGCATGAAATTTGTGATAATCATTTTGCTCACCTGGCAGAGTTTCACAGAAGGATGCATTCTCACTGTCTGAGTGACCCCATTCTGGAGTAGCTTTGTAAACCACATAGCCACAGTAGACGGACTCGTTGTACTTTAAGTTGATGTCAAAGTAGTTATTTTTGCTTTTGAGGACCTGGAGATACGGCAGGATAGGAGAATAAATTGACATTTAGTTCACTGCAGGCAGAATATGTCAAATTGACCTCGCATTTTTGGAAAGTAAGACCAAAGTGTTTTCCTTAAAAAAATAAATATTGCAGCAGACGCAGTAAAGCACAATGTCTGACAATGCTCTTATACAGATGTGTAATTACCCTGAAAAGAGGGTAAATTTGAAAAGGGGGAAAAAAACATAATTCACACACACACATATATCTTTAACAGGAAAATGTTTGGAAACTATATTTTGAGCTACCCACTGTTTGGAATTAGACAAGGCCATAGCACAATAACAGACACCACTGCAACCTTCCTGTTATGAAAAACAAAACCGATCTGCTTCATTATTTGTATTTCTATCCATCCGTTTGTAGATGTCATTGTGTTCCAGAGTCTTCAACAAATCAACTTCAGAAAACCAATTTTATACAATCTAACTGGGAGAACTAAATGGTAGTTCACAGTCGACTCTACAGTTTTAGAGCTGAAGATGGCTGTTGCTCAAAGGTCAGACTTATCACTATGTGCACATTTAGCTTTGGACAAGACTGCTTTTCAAACCAATGCTTATGTTGAAATGATCTCCAGAACATGCTTAATTAAGGTCCATTTAATTTAGTTTAATTTGTAATTCTTATTAAGTTAAGATTTAAAAAAGATTTAGGTGAACATCGGTCCTTTTTAAATTAAGTATTTTATGTGCTATAGTTTTTTTTTTCCCTCTATTTGTCTTTCGTAGTTTGTGTATGAAATTTCAAATTTTAACCAAAATCCCCAGAAGAGTAGCGATTTTTATGCCAATAAAATATTCCTGTTTAAAATCAAATATATATTTATGCCTGCTTTTTACCATAATATTTTATCCAGTTTCAATAATATATTTAATGCAACTTGTTTTCTAATACAAGATAAACATATGTTCATGATGTTTGTTAATGTCAACAAACCTGTGCAGCCCACTGTGGACGGGTTATTTTTAAGGTGTACTCCAGCACAGCGTTTTTGGTGGAGTTGATGATATTTGGAATGGATTTTCCATTTGGCCCCTTTGGCACCGTGATGTTGACATGCAGGCTAGACGCTGTTGTGCGAATAGACAAAACTGGTGGACCAAAGACAGCTACAGACAGAAAATTAAAACAATAAATGAATGTCATAGGAGAATACATTTGTGATAAAGTACATCAGAAAATAACGTGTGTGGAGAATCTTACTGTTTCTCAAGGGATTAAAGGAGGTGGTGATGCCATGACAGCTCCCATTAACCATTACTTTAGCTTTGTAGTAAACGTCATACACTGATGGGGTTTCTGCAGTTAGGTCACATGACAGGCTGGTGATGTTTTGACACTCCATTTTTTTCAAGTAGTTCTGATCATCACCCCTGTAATCGGTGCAATAGACAGTATAGTCAGTCTTTTGGAAATTCACAACCGCATTAATTGTGTAACTACTAAACCAATTCAATCTTGCAGACAAAATTAAGTTCCTACATTCTCATTCAGAGCTTGTATAGTTGCAAGCAAGGTGTCAATGCACAATATAAGGAATATATTCTTCCCTCTTTCCTTCAATTTAGTCATTACATGCTTTTTCAGGCATGAGCACCATGGCACTAGGAGACCATCTAATTGGCCAAAGATAGGCTATTGGTCATATGAATGTATGATACTTAAATTAAAAGAGCCCTCCAAAAATTACAATAAAACATTTTTTTCATTTGCAGTTTTGTAAACATTATTGTAATGATTGCAATTAAATGTATTGAGTATTTTCAAATCAAATGCTTATTTGCTTTAAAAATACCATGAGCATTTCAAGATTGTATCTGTTCAGTAGGCCACATGTCTCTCAAGGTATAAAATCATGCATCATTTCGACCTAGAAATGGATTTTATAGGTGGTTGATTTGATTCTTTCAGTTTAGTCATTTCAGGTGATGACGCCTTAGAGAAATGTAACAGGAATGGGGTGGCACTTGATATTTTTCTGCAAAACTGTCCTGTTAGTAATTAGCTGAAATAACATTTTTAGTTTGAGCACAATAGTAAAGAAAGAATTGCAGCTTAAAATTAATAGTCATATCCTATTTACTGAGCTCATCTTCTTTAAAAAAACAAGTGTTTGACATATATGTAAATGGAAAAAGCATCCTGTATTCAGCTATGTGTAGCTTTTTTAAATATGATTCAATTCTTAATTTTTAAACAGTTTCACACTCAACATAGTTGCATAGCAATTTGAACAAATATGCATTCTCAAAAACAGATCTTTTTATTCATACGTGTGAGATAAGTAAACACTAAAAATAAGGATAATCTACAGTTTTGTTTGCTCAGGAAAAATCTAAGACCAATGAGGCCAGTTACTCAATACTGATAGTTATCTTTACCATGGATGGCACTTGAATATTAATTACATTTCAAAACTTGCAGCTGTGTAGTTGACAATGGTTTAATAGACTAGGTTTATTCAAAGTGTTGACCCTTATTGGTTTTAAAGTGGAGTACTTTTGATTAGTGAGTAGGGATAATCTTAATTTGGAGTTACAGCATAGTTCATTGGACTTAGCAGTTAACTGCTAATTTATGCAAAAAACACAAACACAAAAATTTCTTTGAAATTTGAACAACTATGTTGTCTAAGCAGTTTTGGAAGTCTGTACTAGACTTCTTTTTGTGTATTGTCATCTGGAGAATGGCCTCTTCGGAGACTTTAGATTAATGACAATTAACATTCAATACTCTGATCTTACCTCCAGTACTGCACGCTATAGAGAACTTTTTGGCCTGGAAAAGCAGGCTCCACAGGATCCCAGTGAAGAACATTGTTAAAGTTTTTGGACCTGAAATACACGCGGTCATTTCCAGTTGAGGGACTTGCTGTTGGAGAAAGGGAGAAAATGTATTTCTGCTTATTTACTTGGTTTGTTTATTGTTCAAGTTTATTCAACAAATTTAATAGTTATTGTTCCAATCATTTTTAGAAAAGGTGTCAAAGAACAAGTTTTAGGCATTTTAAACTGCTTTTTAGTCTTCAAATGTGATGGCAAGTTATTATACGCAGTAAATAAAATTTTCACTTTCAAACATATTTTTATCCTGAGCAATAGGTGACTCAGAGCCCAGTGTGATATTACACCCTGGATTCAGGGCGTCACAGAAAGTATTGTTGGAGTTGGACTTTGTGTCTGCTTATAACTGAAACTCAAAACTGCTGTTACTTAATCCTGCCTGTCACCTACTTTTTATACAATACATTTCTAATATTTCAAGACAGGCTTTAGAAAATAGCATGCAGGACATCATACTTTTTGTTGCTCTGAATTATCTTACATAGAAAGTGACTTAAATGATTTTTTTTTAGTTTATTTACTAACCTGGAGATGGTAGAGATAACACCTATGACAGTCAAAAAACTTAAACGGATATGTTTAAAACATTATACTTAAAGAAGTGTACTTAAAAGTGATACAGTCTTGAATTAACATTAAAATAAACCAGCATTTCCTGTGATGGAGTTCTCAGACTTTCCTTCATTATTAATGAGTGGCAGAGGTTTTTTTTCCATGTGCTGGTGGTTGTAACTATTTTTTGCTTTTTATAGTATTACCTCAATTAATAGTTAATTGAGTGAAACATCTACATCTATACATCTTCAAATTAAAAAAAGATAAATCTGTACTAGCTGGTTTTACTCACCATAGCAGAACAGAAGAAGGACCAGTATGTTCCTAGGCCACATTTTCTTCAGGAGTGCATATAAGCAGGAGAAAAAAGTCTATTTTTGCTGCTGTCGATGGAATTCCGAATTATATGTATATACAAATGCATTGAATTACAGTCTTCAAAAAAAATTCTCCCAAACGAAATTAAAATCCTCTGCAGTCCTTTTTAGACCAACCTCTTGCTTCAGCTAGTCAACCATCTCTGAGCCACTCTGGACAAGGAGTGGCTTTGCTCAGGTGTGCAGGTGTACTTTGTTACATGTTATCACTTAGTTCCTGTTTTTCTGCTTATTATGAGCACCACCCACGTGTCTCTTCTCCTCAGAATGCCAACTTCCATTTCATTCTGTGCTCCCAATTTACCGTGAGTCTCCTCCTCCCGCCATGGAAGTATATCAGGTTCTTTCAGTTTTTTTTCTGTTTGCTGGAAATGATCACGCCTTGAAACTAAAATAAGACTCACTCCACATACTACATTCACACCAAATAGCAAGTGGTAAGAATAGAATGTGTTCTAAGAATAGCATTCCTAAGTAGTGAATTTCTCTTCATTGCAAAGACATCTTTGGCTTTATTTTTTTTCTTCTGGATTGATCAACATGTCTTTCCTCCAGTCACTGGATTGTTTACTGCAGGTTGAATGCAGTTTATTATATGAAGCCATAGTAAAATAATATTTTACCACCTATTTGAATTCTGTTTACCAATTTAAAGCAAAAGTCAATCCAACTTTAGGGAAACAAGAAGACAAGAAGTGACAAGACAAGAAGTGTTTTACCTGTTATCTAGTCAAATCTGAGCCAAACTGTAAAAGGCCCTTATTCTGTGAGAGCTAAAAGGTTAAGGAAGAAAACAGGACTTGATATTCTACTATATGTTTGATCAACTTTACTGAAGTTGAGTTAATTTGCTTAGTTCATTATATAGCAAGGCAATTCAAAGTGCTTCACACCATACAAAACAATACAGTAACCAATTATGAATCAGACAATAAACATACAAGGAGAGGTTTTGACAATAATGATTTGATGCATCAGGTATGTGGTCATACAATATCAAGAAGGAATGAGTAATATAACAGTAGCAAATCTTGCCACCTCTCTGAAAAAGACAATAAGGCAATTGTAAGGTATATAGAGTTCATTATTGTGGAGTAAAAGGTGTGAGAAGCTATTTAAAACTGTGGCTTGTCCTCCTAGCAACCATGAAACACAAACTTGATCATACCACTTGATGTATTCAGGACAGAGGTTAATGCTACAACACTCATTCTCTGCGGCTTAATTGTTATACAATTGGTATCAGCAGTTGGTTAAGTTCAGTGCTGCTGAACTTAGCAGTGGATTTCAATGCTTTAGATTACAAGATCATCATCTCTAGCTTTGAGCAGCCATTAGGTATCAAATGTTGAGCCCCTTCCATCCTAGTGTTAGGATCTACTTTTTAATTTTGTTGTCTCCAGCTCTCCTGGCTTCGCTTTGGGGGAGCCACAAGACTACCTTGTCAGTCTCGTCCTTTTATAGATTACCATTTTTTTCTCATGCCAGTTGATACCATTTACTAAAAGCATGGTATTACCTTGTTTTTTTAGGTTGACATCTGTCAGATTTTTTTCCCAACTGAATCACATTGGCAACTATTCTGTTCAGATTCTCCTTGACTCCCTTCTTCATAGGAGGAAATGCATGGTATTAAATCTTTAATATTTTAAAGACAGCCTGGACTTATGTTATTTAGACTGAAGTGCACAGGAAGGAACCTGTGCACTTCCTGGCATCTCTTATTGAGCTTTAATTCAAAATTGGGTGTAAAAACGGATCCCTTAAACTTGAAAGTAAGGAAAACATGCCCTGTGTTTTCAACAGAAGCAGTTGAGATGAAGCCTGATTTGTCTAAAAGAAATCTTGAAAGAGTAGCCCATGCTTTTATAACCTTATGTCTTGTTTAGTGTAATGGCCCCGTTTTTAGAAATGGTCTTCTGTTCTTTGCTCACATCTTGTACAAGATGAAAGGCATATTTGAACAAGAGCAGAGTCCTTCAATTTGTGCTACCCTTCACTGATTCACTTTTTATCTCTGTGCCATTCTAAGTCTTAATTTTGAAGTATTTTGAGATGTTTTTTCTCAGAACTCCTACACTCATATATGCTCTCAGGTCATCAGATGAAGATTTTATCTTGCAGCTGCAGAATGCAATGGAATGCTTAGTCAATAAACATTAACCTGCAACCTTATATTAACATTTTTAAATCTAATTTAAAAGCTCTCTTCCATGCCACTCCTATGGCTTTTTACCCAGTGTGAGTTATTGACATTGGACTCATTTTTACTTCTGGTACCATTTGTATTGTATTCTACTTTTTGTTGATGTGTATTCTTGGGTGTTTCATTACCTTTTATTCTTGGGCCTTTCTGTATTTCCTATGTTTAATTTACAGTATTATGGTCAATCCAGCTGTTGTTTAGAGTGTTTCATAAAGTTGTTTGGAAAAGAGCTGGTGACAGAATGTTCTGAAATTTTCTCCAGGAATGAGAAGCCACGTATATTGTTTTCCTTTGCAGACCTGTGACGGAGGAGCCGTCACGAGCTGGGACTTAATTATGAGTCCGTGTCAACATGTGTACACATATATACATAAACCTACACAATCGCTAACCAACTTCTGTTCCGGCTTAGACTGATGCGGTTCATCGTGGGTGCACACGCGGTGTTCCTGCTTCGGTTAGCGTATCTATCCTAATCTGTTTTCACTTCCAAACATTTTCCCGGTTTTGTTGTCAATAAGGGTTATTTCCGGATTGTGGCGCGCCGGGAGGGAATCATGATGACGTCATTGGAGTATACTGAGTGTTCTCTATTAAATTGATTATTGTATTTTTGATTACAAGTTTATTTATTTTCTTTATTATTATGATTGTTTTGTATCCTTTAAGAGTTCATTTGAGTTGGAAGTAATTGTTTAATTGTTTAATTGTTTTGTTTGCTTGATTGGTCTTTCTGTGGGCGGAGCCTGTGGCTTTAAAAGCAGGGCTCTGGGAGGCAGTCTGTGACTAGACTCCTGCCAGATCACAGCGAAGGTGATGGACTCTTACCTTGAAGGTACTGTTGTTTTGTCTGTTTTAACCTGCCTGGACGTCCCTGTATATATATTCTTCACCTGCCACCTTTTTGCTCACTTGAAGAACTGAATAAATTTCACTAAAGTGATCTCTGGCCTTGGGCAGTCATTTTTTTTTTGTCCAAGCATAAGAGAACCCCGTCACAAGATCTATTAGAAGCTTTTCAAGCAACTTTATTAGTTTTTGTTGTGGACAACATGCTGCTTTGATCTATGATCATATTGTGGTACAATGTTATTTTCCATGTGTTCCTACTTGTTTTCTCTTTTTGTTCCTCTTGCAACTGTATTAAACTTGGACTATGTGTTTAAAGAAATACTTTAGACATAAATCCAGATTTCTTTTGTAATTGCACCAAGAGTAGCATGTGGACTAAACACAGTATTGGCTAAAAAAAAATCTTTACATAATCATTATTTGTTTTAATGTTTCAGTTTACATTCGTTTGTAATTTTATTTAAGGTAACACAAGGAAAATCATATTGTAATCCATTGAAGTGAGGACGGTCTTGCAATAATTCATGCCATTGGCATTGATTGATCTTTATGTACATAATGTGCCATTCATTAGATGTTCTCTAATCACTGCCGCGTTATTATGGACAACATGCCTGGGATTTGCTCTGATAGTTAATTTTAATTATGTCTGTGTTTGACTACTCTTGTGTAACCATTATGTCCAATCTAACACCTGTCACAGAAATGATAAAGGTGTTGCCTGCATTGTAAACCACTCAGGCTATTCTAGTCTTAACTTTGTTAAAGGAAAACAGGCACCGGAGGAGCTTGCAGGATTGTAAAACTGCTTCTGACTTGCTGATTCTACAAAACGCAAACATCAGACTTGAAGGATATCTCAGGGTTATATTTTAAATCAAAGCTGCTAATATCCATATTTTTCTCCATTTAAACATCTAAAAGATAATTTAATCTATTGAAGAATTAACAGTTTTTATAACATGGATTGTTATGAAATACAGAGGAAGTACCAAAAGCTAGCAAAGAAGCTCATGAAGACTTTCAGCTATGTATATTTTGTTTTAAATATTTGGGTTTCATTTAGCAGGCCAAGGATGATTGCTGATGATTTTTCTTCAGGTCACCATTTTGTACTTGAGCAGTTTTCAACATTTATATCCTCACATTTTTTAAGTTGGAAAAAGCACCCTGCCTTGTCATATTACAGACTGGTGTGCTCATTTGGATGCATGGTGGGGATATTCAATATTTGATTAAATAGGTATGTTTAAAACATTTAAGTGACAAAAAAACAAAACCTCTCAAAAACCCTGTCATTAAAGGGACAAAAAGGTGTAACCTGTTTTAAAGCAACCATGGCCAAAAGCAGATAAGATAGTAGTATAGAGAGACATTTCTGTTGTTTTTGTTAGATTGGCATCATAGCTACATCTTCTGTCCTCTCTGTCTCTCTGCTCCATTTACACCTCAAAGCTACTTAAAAATGCAAGAAAACTGACAATCTATGATGTCTTCAGTTTTCTGCATTGTTGGGCACTCTTCTGACCACAGCAACTTTTTTTTTCTTATTCTTTGCAAAAGCAATTCACAGTAAAGACAGCCCTGAGAGGGGAGTACACTGTGATACTTTGGTCACACACAGGAGATATTTCTGTGGACTCTTGTGCTTCGGTGAATCGTTGTCATCAATTAACTGTCCTTTGCTCTGTCACAGCAAATCAAATCTATCTTGCATCTCTGACTTCTCCAACCTTTTTGAAACGAAAAGAAAATGGAAAATCTTTGATCTAACTCAGTGAACATAGGATGAACAAGACATATTCTTGCTCTCCATCAAAGTGAAAGGAAGCTGTGTCTTCTGTCTGAAATATGATCCATCTCAGTTAGCATGAAGGCAGAGGCGCAAAAAGTGGGTATGCAGCATATGCAACGCATAGGGGCGCAGCACCAGAGGGGGCGCCAAAACCCCGTCTGGAGGGGGCGATGTGCCGATTATGTTTTCCCGTACACTTCAGCGTGCCTCACGCTCCTTCACCTCTCACACATAACGAGGTAATTTATGTTTTTGCATCCACCTGAATAATGTGTAGTTGCGCCACTGCATGAAGGCATTAAAATGGCACCTGGTTTAACAGTGCAACAATCTCAAGATTCATTAAGAGAATTTCAAGG